CTGGGCTGGGAAGCTCCCAGGATTGCGGAGAACTTCGAAGGTTTTAAGAAGCGCCTGGAGGCCTTGAAAGATGTGAAGAACATGTCGCCTGGGCTGAATCCGATCGCTGGTGCCGCCGTTGCGGGATCGACGGAGACGGCTCGGAGCCTTTGTGGGGGCCGGGTATATACTATATATCCACTATATAGTTCTTCCAGGGAGCCGGGTCACTTGGAGAGTGAAATCGGGAGTTCCCCATCCCCGACAACTATAGTGACGACCGAATAGTCCCAGGAACCCCTGCCAAAAGCAATATGAAGTACAGCATGAAGTATAGCATATTATACAGATTTACACTATGAAGACTTGAGTGCGGTTAGCTATTATAGTCTCAGTCGTCTATTCTAAGCAACACCTCCTCTCCTCTTTTGTGATGGTACCTCGCTGGTTGCTTCCCGCCCGAAAAACACATGAGCCCCCCAGCTAACCTCCCCTCCACCATCCTCCCACTTGCTTCTTTGTCCTCTCCTTTTGAAATTCCGTACGGCCCGTACGAACAGCGGTCCACAGGCTGTGGGAACAGCTTTCCATGGCTCGACTCAGATAGCTTGTCCAGTCATTCAAAAGAGCCTTCATTGTTGAGGTAAAGCTACCTCGTCTAGAAGCGTTGTGTTTCATTTCTTTTTCCTATACTTGATGATCAAGTGTGTTGGTCCCTGAATTTTCTCATATGTTGACTATTTTCAGATAATTTATCCTTGACTCGTTTGGTTAGTGAGAATGACAGTGAGATAGATTGATACATATAGAGAGATAAGAGAGGTAGGGAGGGTAGTGTGATTTGAATCTACATGTCCCAACAATGCATATATGCAGCCATACCATGAATGCAGCGATGCTTTTTGTTTCTGAGCCCTGGATTCTAGAGGCGCAGCCTATACAACCTGCGGTTTCCTTTCAGTGAACATGAAACCATCACTGGCAACAGAACCACCGAATTTTCTGTGATCACTGTGATCACGAAGAACCAACCTCGTTGACAAATATGCCGTTCACATAGCAGTGGCTCAACTCCGTTCCACCAAGGCCTACACAACCCTTAGACACGATCTGTTTCATCGGCCGTGCCGCAACCTTCCGTGTGCATGTTTCAGTGCATGTTTCAGCATGTTGACGCTTCCAAGTGCATGTTTCAGTGTGCGATCATTGTGGACATCTACACCTTAAACCCAGTGCCTGTCTGTAATTAGGGGTAGCTGTTACTCCGTGATTCTATTTTGTTGGCTGTCTAAGCTCTGTCCTAGCAGAAAGAGATTCTGACATGACCCCAGATGTGTGGACAAGCTATCATAAGACTTCATTGCTGTTGTTTGTTCAGAACGAACACATGTTTTCTTCGGGGCTCCGAACTGTTTTCTTCGGGAAATCCCTCAGGATGAGTGGCGCAATGATCCTGATGCTGTTGCCAAAGGCCAGGTCCAATTGGAAGAGTTTTGCCGAGCCAGCGCATAGGTCCAACAAATGAAAGTTTGCTATCTAGACGGGATTTGAAGAGGATTGAGGGGCTTTCCAAAGGCCCGAAGGATGGCCGCACTTCAAACAGAAAGTCAAGCCAGCAGTTCCTAAGCTTGTAGACATAGCCATTGGTGTAGCTAGCTAGCAAGATTGTAGGGGCGGAGCTGTGACCAAAGCAACCTTCCTTCGTGAATGCATTGGAGCGATTTCTTCGCCGCAGATTTTGACGTCACAGCCCAGTGTCCCAGACCCTTTCAGTGCCACAGGCTTAACAATGTTTGTCGCGGGCTGGACAGAACCTGCTCTGAAAAGGAGCAATACCTTGAAAACAACACATTACATCAGGTGAAACATCAACCCAAACAATCGGGTAATATCGAGTACACAATCGGGTTTGCTTCACATTCTGGTGTTCAAACAGTTTGCTTGCGCCTTTTCCATTCTTTCCTGCATGTTTTTGAAGATTCGAGGATTCGATTCGATGGTCCCTGGGCATCCCTGTTGGAAGAGCATTTTCTTCCACCTCACTTCGCTGCTCCGCTCGAGCTCCGACCTCGGCCTCCGGCCTCGGCTCTGCAGGCGGTGGTGTCGAGTCCGCTCGCTTGAGTCGATGCACTCCGTTCCCGACTGGAAAGATACTCCGGGCCGATTTGCACCAGTCTCACCAATCTTGTCCCGCCCTTGTGGGTGGCGCGTGAGGAAAGGGCGGCGTTCTGTTACAATGACCACCAAAATTGGCAATAAATGACCAACATTGTCTGATAAAAATAAAAAACACACAGCATCTCCCTTTCACTCACCAGTGTCTAAATTGTTCACGCTAGCTTCTTTGCTTTGGAAGATGATGCCAGCAGAAAAAAGTTGCTTGTGACAGTAGCTCATTCATATGTACACCGGGGGGCAGGGCGCGCCAAAAATCACGCGCGTCAGAGTTCAGAAGACCTATATTTACAAAAAGGAAGGAAAAGGATGAGGAGCAGAGCAGGGAACAGGACGAGGAGCAGGACGAGAAGAGAAATGAGAAGGAGAAGGAACAGAAGGACTCAATGCGTGAAAATGACTCGCAGCGGGAAAACCTGCAAAAAGGTTAACCTTTTTTCTCGGGAAACTCAGGGAGTAAGTGCCAGATAGTATGTCAGATAGATTGCCAGATAGAATGGCAGATTGAATGGCAGATAGTATGCTTCAAACACACAACCACAAGCTCACAACCACAAACACAACCACAAACACACAAATACAAACACATAACCACAAGCACACAGCCACAAACACAACCACAAACACGCAACCACAACCACAACCACAAACACAACAACAAACACAACCACAAACATAACAACAAACACACACCCACAAAGACACAACAATCGACACACAACCACAGACACACAACCACAAACACTCAACCACAAACACACAACCACAACAACAAAACCACAAAGACACAACCACAAACACACAACGACAAACACAACAACAAACGCACACCCACAATCACACAACAATAGACACACAACCACAAACACACACAACCCAAAGACACAACCACACACACAACCACAAACACACAACCACAAACACACAACCACAAACACAACCAGAAACACACAATCACAAATACACAATCACAAGCACAATCACAACCACAACCACAACACACAACCACAAACGCAATCACAAACACAACCACAGCACACAACCACAAACACAACCACACACACAACCACAAACAAAACAACAAACACACAACCACAAAGACACAACAATAAACACACAACCACAAACACAACCACAAACACACAACTACAAACACAACCACAAACACATCCACAAACACACAACCACAAACACAACCACAAACACAACCACAAACACACAACCACAACAACACGACCACAAAGACACGACCACAAACGTACAGCCACAAGCACAACCGCAAACACATTCACAAACACACAATCACAAACACACAGCCACAAACACACAATCACAAACACACAGCCACAAACACATAATCACAAACACAACCACAACCACAACACAGCACACAACCACAACCACAACACACAACCGCACCACACAACCCGAGGACCACAAACAAAATCGAGAACTACAATACTCACGACCATGGCAACATGCTCCTCACTATGGCATCAAGTCAAATGATTGAAATGTCATGGTGGGGATCACTCGAAGTCAAGTATTTTTTTCTGGGGCGGGGGCACACCTTCTATGTCTCATCGGTCGTGTTTGAGTTTCAGTCTGGAGCTGCAGATGGAGTGAGTTTTTGCCTCCAAGGCTTGCATGATCGAAGGGAAGGCCTTGGTGCTGTATGCTCTCTTGCCCTCGGGTTCCGTGGAGAAAGAGAATGGGAAGGCCTGCCTTGTCACTGAACATCATTGCACCAAGCCCAACCTGCTGATCAGATGATGTTCATCATCTCCGGGTAAGGCTATGATGGAATATGTGTGTGTTGCCTTCTCTAGATACCACAAGCGACTCCATGCAGGCCAGTGTGGAAGAGATGATGGCTCTGGAGAAAGTATAGGACTACCTCACTAACACGGAAGTGGAAAATGGTCGCACTGTTTTCTTTTACGAACAGGGGTTTCCACTTCCTGTTAGTGAGTTGGAGTTTACCTGAGCTTGAGATATATTCTGATGTTAAATGCATGTGTGCATATCTGTGCACGTTATTCATTGCCGGGTCTAAGCACCATCCTGTTTATGGTTTGGACTTCTGGCCCAGCCTTCGTGGCAACTCTACTTTCAGCATCATGTTGTGAAACATGAACTCTATTGGTTTTACTTAGCTCTAGTCTACTTGGACGGTGTCTCATGTGTTTGCTTTCTCCCACCCAATCTTGAGAGAAGCGAATCACTGGTGAGCGCATGGTCTGGCGTGGGTCCGGCAGACCAGCGCTCACCAGGGGCTCACCGTGGGCCCGGCCGAGGTTTGGGGTCTTTGATCTCCTACACGCCAGTGGTGGAAGACGTGTGAGATCTGCGGGAAAAAAAACGTGGTGAGAGGCAGCATGGGGAGGTTCTGGGCACGCGCACCAGGCTGTGGAATCGGGCGAGCATACAAGAGGTTTCAGCTAGACTGGAAGGTGGTTTCTTGGTGTTTTGTGGTGTTTTTGGTGCTGAGTGTTCTTGTCTTTTCGCGGATTGCACACATCAGCTATTTGTGGGTAAACTTGGTTAATGGTCAACCCTGACAAATGATGATGTGAGCATATACTGTAGAGGAAACGAGAGGATGTTCAGCCTGCGACTGGTGGAAGCAGGAGTTGAGTTTGGGCTTGACCCACTTCCTTGTCCATGTATGGTCCCACTTGATCCATTCACTTCATTCAAAGGCCATGAATCTCTGAAGAGAACACTATTTCAAGGCACAATCATAGACAGGGATCCTTGTGTTGCTGTTCTTGCCAAGAGAAGCAGAACCCCAAAAAGGTCCTACGATGTCCTACGCCCGCCGCACTGCCACCGCCACTGCCGAGGTTTGGCCACGGCCGACCACGTCCTGAGGCGACCCAGAAGCGACCCGCGGAGACGACCCGCGAAGACGGATGGTCTTTCACGGATGGTCTTTCCGCGAACAGCTTTACACCCCCAAGGACGGACATACTGTAACTCGTCCCTTGCGGAACTTGGCCAAACATGAAAACGATGGTGGGATTTCCAGTGGGTTTGGGGAGAGTTCATTTGATCTTTTTCTGATTGGTTTTGGTACAGGATTTGTTTGCTTCGAGAATAGAGAGCCTCAGCCCTCAGCCCTCAGCCTCAGCTGCCTCTGGAACCATTCTGCCTTGTGGAAGGGTTTCTCTCGGGCTTGAGTTGCTCAAGTTCGATTGCCGTCGACTGAGTCAGCATTGGTCGCAATTTCTTTGTGGACTAAGTGTACGTGAAAGGGTACAAGACCGAAATCACCGTTGGGCATCATTGGACATCAACTCTCCTCGATTATGTTTGCATATGTTTGCAGGTTCTTCTTTGATTCTTTGGTTTGTCATGTTTTACAAACACTTCTGCGTAGCTTTGATTTGGTGCCCAAACCAAATTTTATATTTTATACACAATTCATATCAATTCATTGTATATAATATATATACAATATATGCTATAATAATATACAATTAGAGAACCTGGTTTTTGTCCGATTCACTCCTGAAAGATGGGTGGGGATCATCACTGCGTCGCTGACGGGGGCTCGCAGTCCACGTGCCACGTCAGGGTCTATGAGAAGGTGGCGTCCAAGCAGGTTGAGATCATCAACCGGCTGCAGGTGTGAGCCGTGTGAGTATCAGACCCATTTTTTCGCGAACTTGGGTGGAGCATCATCCATTTCAAAGTCTAGGAATTTGTTGACAGATGTTGACAGAACCTTTAGAACAGAACAGCGTCCTAAAAGTTGCTCAAAGATGCTTGGTGTAGCATGGTGTAGCTTCAGGATTCGATATGTTTTGTTTGATCATGATCATACATGTTACAGGAAACGAGTGGCAGATTGATAGGCTGCCATTATAGTTGAGTCGGCACATGATATCTTCAAATAACATCATAGTAAAACATGTAAAACACATGTTGTTATATTATAATATCTTATGTCATGTTTTCTGTTTGACCCTTGCATTTCTTTGAGCTGTTTTAAAGCTGTTCATCATCCGGACATCTCGGTGGCTACCGAACTCACCAGGCCACCTGCGTGGAGCAAGGCATCTGTGCTGCAGATGGAAGACCCGAAGATAAAAAGGACGGTCAGAGATAGCCGGTGGGACTGGCATGTATAGACCCTAGGGCTCCACCTCCTCAGAAGGTACTTAGACCCCCAAACACCTACCCCAAGCACCTTCTCGGGAGGTGGTCGGAGCCCTAGGAATATGCCGCGCCAGAAAGACCCCTCAAAAGAATCACCCCTGGCCTGATCGGAGGATATGCCCAGTTCAATGGAGTTGGGACTAGGAATGGACGCGTTGGCGCCCGGATGAAATGTCGTTGGTTTTTCAGTGTGACACCGAACCAAAAGAACAGATCTCCAACTCAGACCACTTCTTCTTGAAAAGTCCATTTGTTCAAGTGGAGCTTGTCGGGAATTCAGATTGAATGAACAGATTATGTTGCACTTGCAGGGATTGCCAGTTTCTTGGTGGATGCAGCCCTATGGTGCCTGCATCAGTTGATATAGTTTCTTTGATTTTTGTAGTTGCCTGTTGGCTTGCATTGGTTCGATGTTTGTCATCTTGAAGAAGTTGTCATTAACTTGTTTGACATCGAGATCCTGGTTATAGACATGGTGTAGACAGGGGGTACATGTTGCGCACTTTTTGGTTTCCAGGGTTTGCACGCAAGCACGGGTTTGGTTGGGCTGATGTGAGACACTGAGGTAAAGCTTGTGGAGAGGGAGGCCTCTTCAACAACATTAAGGCTGGTTTCAGAGTCAAGTCATATTCACACTGTTGAAGGACTGAGATTCTGCACTGAGTCGAGCCAATACTTCAATAGACATACCATGACATACCATTTATTTGAGGTGGTGACGGTGGTGACAGTTCCTTGAGCAGGTACTCATTAGGAACCACATACTCGTAAGTCCCGGAGTTGACATGTTGATCTTACAAAGCTTGGGCCCTGAGAACAGGCCCAAGCTCTACCGAACATGATTTTCTGTGTAAACCAGAGTCTGAGAGGAGGTTCATGATTTACAGCCCAGACGCTCCATGTATGGTATATGTGCCATTTCACCCCTGATAAAGCCCATGCAGGCAGTCCTTTTTGCCAGGAAGTGGTGGGAGCTGCCATTGAGACTGAAACCACCCCCAACTGATGGGCTACTATGGCAGTCCCATGGAGTGTTTGGGGAGGAGAAACCCTTGGCCATTCCAGCGTTTCGGGAACCAACGGTGAAGCTTGCTCTCCCTACACAGGCCTACGGTGAAGCGTGTTCTCCCAACGTCACAAAACCAACTTGGTCTCCCTTCTGGTGAGAAAGAAAGCGTTCAATTCGCTATTTGTGTTTCGTCTCATCTCCCGGAGCACGAGATATGCGTCACGAGATTCCATGTGGCTGCCTTGGTGGCTATGCGTCACTGTTCCCAGGGGTCAACTATCTCATCTCATTAAAACGGGATAAAACGGGACATGAACAACACCATTGCTTCATGCAAAGTACTCCCTTTCATGAAGCACGTGCATATGAGCTTATGAGCCACGCTCAAAACTAGGGAAGCGAAGACCACATTTAGTAGAGAAAGTGTTGGTTTGTGCAAGGAGGCTTTGACCATGTTTGACTCCTCAAAAGAAACCCTGGCCTTTTCGACTCCGAAATCGCCCAGAACTTCTTCAAGCGCCTTTTCCATCGCTGAGATCGCCGTTTCGTCACGGCGGCGACGGCGGTGACGACCGGTGGAGCACAAAGAAGCGCGAGGGACGAGGATGCGGAACGGTGGACATGCGAGGGACGACGAAGGGTCTTCCTGGAAGTGGTGCTGAGGTTTCAGGTGTTTCTTGAAGTGGAAAGACACACTTGTTTTGATGGAGCTTTCGCCCACCCAAACCTGGGATTTCACCCAACTGTTTTTCACCGGTTTCATCAAACATGTCCAACGAAACTCAGATTCATCCAAATGCCCCATGTGCTTTCTCCGACGTGTTTCCTTGTTTTGTTTCGCTTGTTTGGTGCCAGGACTCCACCCCCTCGTCACCCTCCAAGCTCAAAGTGATGCGTGAGGAGGCAGGTGCCTCTTTGGTTTGCGCGAGGGATCGATCAAACCGTGTGTCCATCCCAGACCAGACCAGCCATCCCATTTTTTAGAGTTGCATACATTGACCCCCGAAAAAGATATGATCCCCAAGGTATAGATAACTGTTCGCTCGTCCCACGGATGGTTTGGGAATGAATGTTTCATAAGACCTCCCTCCGTTTGGATTGCGCCCTCTAGACGAGGCCTGGGGGGTTGAAATGATCATTCTTTCACCTTGCGCAGCGAACGAACGCGCAATCATGATCGGTGCCTGTGCACCGGCAACAAACACTGTAACAGCGGTCCAAGTGAAGCCAAACACCGATGCACATGCCAACACATTCGCCCGCCAACGGCCAATGGGGCGGCTTCAATACACATGGAGCGGTCCGATCTGACTGGTGTCCCACCGGTGACCCCAAACGAAACCCATCGGGGTTTTCGTCGAGTTCCGGTTCCGGGAGCTTGGTGGGTCCGGAATTCGGCTGCCTGAGATGATCGGACGGGGGGAAGGGAAAGCAAAGAGACCAAGCTGTTGCAGGCCTCTGTCATCAAAAGAGGAAAAGACCACTCCCATGTGTTTTTGTGTGCCCATGAAATGTGTGCTTTACCATGTGTTCCCAATGTGTTTTCTCACCAAAGTAAGATCGAAAAGGATGAGCCGAAAGAATCTCTCCCCATTTGCTAGGTGTGGTCCATGTAAGATGACCTTGTGCCCAACACATACGACAGCTTTCTGGAAGGCCGCCCAACACAATGCACCCCATGACTCCTGTTCATCTGACGTCTTCTGTGGAACTTACAGGCGGTCACCCAGATCGATGATGTCACTCGGTGTACATCGGCGGCCGGGTGTCTCCCGTGCCGAAGCACTCTTTCCCTCGATTTGGTGACAGCCTGTGGTTCGATTTCGGTTCAACTGACAGCCGGTGGCTGGCCCCCGCTGATCCCTTCCCAGCCTGGCGCGTGTGTGCGTTTTCAGCCTGCAGGTGGCTGCGAGGACATGGCCGAATGAGGCCTTTTTCACCAGTGCGGCCGGGGGGCCAGCTGCACAGCACCTCGCAGGAGGGGTGAGCATTAGGCACCTGAAACGACTAGCTGCGATCGCGAGCAGTTGAAGCATCAGGTTCATGATGGTTCATGGTAGGACGTGGTTTTCAAAGTTTATGACTAAAAGAACACAGCTGTCGCAAAAGACATCTACACATCGATCAACACAATCTGCTGTCCAAAAGCATGGTATCCGTGTTTGATGGGCTCACCATGGTTCACCATGCTTGTACGCTCCTGTCCCAAACGCTGTTGGGGTGGGATACATGGTTTGTGCCTATCGGTACATGGTCGAGTCAGTATGTGCTTGGAGCCGAATCCGAATCAAACCGAAATCAATCCGAATCTCTTCCCATCAAGACTCATAGTATAGACTGGTGAACGCCCCTTACTTTCATGTTTGGTTGAGCCTAAGTATCATGAGATTGGGAGACATGAGTCAGGGTAGAAATCCATGCTGAGATCCAAAGGCAATTGTCTATTTTTTGTTGCTTTGTGTTCTAAAGGTTTGGGGCAGGATCCAATTTATGCAGGGGAATGAGTGGTTCTTATAATTAGGGGGTTCGCGCCTTGTGAACTTACCCTTTGTGAGCTTGTCAAATGAAGAAGAATTGCATAAGTGCATAAGACATCCATGACTCCTGACCTGTAAATGCACGGCTTCATTTGCTTCTTCCAAAAAATAACATACAATAACATTCCGAGAACAGAACATACAAACAAAAGATCATCTCTACTTAGTGAAGTAGAAACTTGGCGGTTGTTTGTGGGGTCGGGTAAATTGGGTTGGTTTGGATGCCTTTTTCAAGGGTGAACATCACAATGTTCAGTTTTCAAGTAAGATGGTATCTTTTCCTCTTTGAGGCGCGGCAGCTGATTTGTCTTTCTTGAGATTCTGCACGTCAAGCACCCACGCGGAGGGTCACCGGCTGGTCTCTGTCCAAGGCCACAGAAGCCGTCACGAACGCAGGGCTGGCCGTGTTATGGCAAGGGGCGGTTCGTGAAGAAATTGAGGATTGGTCACATGTGTGGTCATTTTGTTGTAGCTGTGTGGTCACGGTCATGCGTTGTACGGCTGGCAAAAGATTTAAAGGACAAAACATCTCACTGAACGCATTTCAACAGTTTTTGTTAAAGGTCAGGTTTGCATTCTTATGTGTTCAAGGTTTTCTTCAGGTGGGCTATGGTGCGCTCAATGGACAGTACATACTCAGCCGGCCGTTTTCCACCACGTCCCCATAATTATGGTATTTCATTCATCAGGTATATCAATATATCCGTGTACAAACTGGAATTCATATATAACTATAATTAGGTATTGGGGGTGTTTGGACCAATCCGGCCAATTCCAGTAACACACCTGTTGACAAATCCATGGTATATAGTTACTTTGTCAAGTAAACAATCATGGAACTTGGAACAGTTTTTGTGATCTGGCCAGGTGGTGATGACTCATGCATGGCGCGGGTGCAGGCTCTGGGACTGGGGGTCACCCTGTCATCCCGGGCCGACATGTGCATAACACCAGGAACTTTGCACCTCGACATGGAGAAGAAAGACGCAGTGTACGGAAGAAACACTCCAAGAACTGAAGGCGTTTGAAGGTATATTGATATAGTCCTGCCCGATGGACTGTTTGGAAGGAAAAACGCATGGAATGTGTCCAGTAGACAGACCGCCTTGATATGCCCTGATTCCTGATGTTTGAGACCGACAATTGTTTATCTTAGAGAGGGTGTCCCGTGCCAATAGTTCCGAACAAAAATGTGGGACGAAATGGAGCAATACTACCTTCAGTATCCATGCCCCCTTAAAAGGAATATGTTATATATATATATATTCATTGTTATTCTATTGAGACCGCATCAGCATCCAGTGAACATACAATCTCCCAAGACAGGGTGCACATAGCTAATGTACTAGCTAAACCATGAATCAACCACAAACTCCCGGACCACCATAGACGTCGATCGTTTGGGTCTTGTTTCCTATGTCTCTACCCCAAAACCCACGGAGCGCACGCCCTCGAGGTCCGTGAGCGGCTTGGCGGACTTGGCGGCCGTGCGGCTGGGCGAAGAGAAGTGCGTCGAGCAGCGAGCGGCTTTCTTTTTTTGGCAGAGAAAAAAACGAACACTGAAGTCACTTCCTAAACCCTTTGATCTAAGGGAAGGGCTGCCGGTTCGGGCGCCCGGGGGAAGTGGGGTCCTTCAATTTCCGAGTTTGGGGGGTCCTTCAAATACCCAGCCATATCACTTGTTCGTGTTGAACTGGTCTCCGGGCGATCGTCGGTCCTCGCCAAGATCCCAAGAGCAAGTTGAAGATGGTTGACTTGGGGTCGCCCTCGACTTTTCAGTTGCTGGTCCCCCTCTGAAATGGTGTCTCTTTCAGGGAGCTCCCTGAACACCGAGACACCCAAGAGAGCAACATCATCTGCAGTTTTCAAACACATTTGCTTTCTACTACCGCTATGGCCTGCCGGTGCTCCGATGTCAAACGCACGGTGGCCATGCGATTCACCCACTTCAAGTGGCGGAGGTCCCGTGTTCTCCACTGTCTTTTCGCCTCTCGGGGATCACATACGTCGCTGCCCAAAGGGGACAGTCTGTGACCTCTCGTTGGCGGCGTTGCGGCCAAAACACGTCTCAACCCCTTGCGTCATTGCGGCTTGCCTTCACCACACAGCCATGCATGCATTGGTCCATGAAAACCCTGCTGGGCAAGCCATTGCCCATCGTTTTAGGTCACTTTGGAAACTGTCCGCCTAACACTGAACTCTGCGCGCCTTTTCTTCGCGAAGCGACGACGACGCGTCGCTCTTCGGCGTTGGCTCCGACGTCCGAGGTTGCTTTATGGCCTTTCAAGCACCGGGCTCATGAAGGATGCTGAGGCGTTCTGGTTCACTGCCGAGGGGATCTGGGGACGCTATGCGGCATGTGGGGACTACTTTGTGAAGGAGTTCCATGTTTGGTGTCCGGTGTCAGGTATAGGTAGGAACCGGTACTGTAGGGACCTAGGTGTAGCTGTGTAGCCGATACAAGATTGTTGACGAAGCAAATCCTGTAGCAAATCCTGGAATACTGCCGTTGATTGGCAGCAAATACCCGTGGAGTAGCTTGTATAGCTTGTATATAATATAATGTGGTCCAAGTTTGGTCCATCCAACGTACCAAGTCATTGGCTGTGGCTCAAGAGTCAGCCGTGTCCGGTGTCATGACAGTGTGACAGGGGATGGGTGTTCCACCATGTGTCAATTCAATTGTCACTATAAGGAATGTTGGGGAGAAGAACATGTTGAATATCACGATATCGCACAATATTCATTGCGATAGTGTATCTTTCGGTGGTATATATATAGATATTGTGATAGGCCCATAGGTTAAAACACAGAATAGTGGGAACAGCTCTGGATGAATATATATATATGAATGATGGCCATGGATAGTGGCAGCACAGACGGCAATGAAAGTGGTGGATTGCCACGCTGATTGCCATGCCAAACATAAGACATAAGCCTTACTAAAGGAATGGGCGATTGAACGTTTGCTATTCAAAAACCGAAGGCATTCTCAAACCAACTGTAATCTGTCAACTTGATCGACATCTCCGTCCGTCGCCACTGGCACAATGTTTAGAAAACATGCAGTGATTTGAGTAGAATATGCTCCCGGCTTGAGATGGATGCCCGCACCATTGATGTTCTTTTTGGTGAGGTGGCCAAGGGGATACAGGATGCAAGTCGCAAAGTAATTAGACTATATAAATGGATTGAATATAGAATGAAGGGTTTAGGAGTAACCTGCAGAATCTGCATGTACCAACATTTAGAAACACTGTCACCAGATGTCACCAGTATGGTCGAAAATTCACTTCTCATACTGGGTCACAGCCGACAAGCTCAACGGCTCAACCCAAGAACTGCACTGCACGATGTGTGAGGCCGATACCTTCTGGTCCTTGTCCGAGCTCTTGGCTGAGGACGCCATTCTTCCCTCCGGTGTTTTCTGGATCCCATTGGAAGAGCCCACTGTCAAGCGGTAGCTCTGTATCTCTCCGCTTGGCTGAGTTGGCGCCTGGGGCGACCCCGTGTGGATGATGCGTATATGACTTGTGATCCCAATAGTTGCCAGTAATTAGTAAGGCAAATATTCTAATACAATTTGATCGCGGTGTATTTATTTGCAGGATATTCATGGTAGGGTTAAGGGTCAACCATGCATTTTTCATACAGCATCATATAACGTTTGCTCCCGGGTCCCGCCACCAGTAACGTCCTTTCCAAGGAAAACATATGAAAAAATGACACCATCCTGGCTGTAATCCCTTGGCTCAAATGGTAAGAGCCAGAACCAATAGGCTTGAGTCATGCGTTCCATTTTATCAGCGAGGTAGGTTGGATATGGTGTGTCACTTCGACTCTAGCCTTAATGCCGAAGAAAGGGAGGTTGGATGGTACTCGATGTTTGAGCTACAGCTCTTTGATTGATCACTTTTGATCCCTGAAACCTTGCATTACTGCCCTGGACATGTCACAACGTATTGTGGCCAGGCGAGTCCGCACAGAGGACGCCGACGAAGCAGCTGTTTGACCACGGAAATCAATGTGCTGTCTTTCTCGTTTCAAAACACCAGAGGGTGATGTGAGATAAGGAGTTGGTCATCCACCTTGTGATGATTTGATTCCCAAATCCAACGTGTGCAAATTTGCTCCCCATCCAGCTTGCGTAAATTTGGGTACTGTAATCCTTCATGGCCCTTGCCATGTGCCCCTTCTGAACACTTTAAAGCTCCGTTTGCCCAGCTGGGCCCAGCCGCCCGCGCCGTTCGCGCTCGCCGAATGCTTCCAGGAGTCGATCCTGGGAGATGAAGCCTTGGCCTGGCAGGCGGCACTTCGGTTTATCGCGTCGGCGTCGGCCGTGATGCGCCACGCGCCGAAGTGGCCAGTGTGCTGTCGGCGGTCGCCCCGGAAAGTTAAGAGATGGTAGGAGCGTTCCAGAAACGTTTATGGCAAACGTGCAGCCGAGGCTTGGCAGGCATGGCTTGGTATAGGCATGACTCGCCCCCTGTTTTCGGAAATGGCCATGTTGCAAAGTCAGAGAGCAAAAGCGGATTCAAGTATACAACTAGGAATTAACATCTATAAAGAGACCAGGTCCATACCCCCTTTGAACAGTATATGGTTGAGGTGTCTCTATCTATTCAACCTCTACAAACAGATGGACAAGTCCGGGGTTTTCCCACCCTTCGCTCACCCTTCGACCCCGTCCAGTTGCCTCCTTCAGAGGCCAAGCGCCTGCACCGGCTGCATCTCAGTTTCGACCCTCCGGCATGGAACGCCCAGGTCTGTGCGAGAGGTCTTTGGGAGGTCAGATGGGATGGGTGAGAAAAAGACCAACACTGATCAGTGGCTTTTTGAGGATGGGAAGCTGCAAAAGTCAATGGACTTGTCATGACAGAACTATACTGCACAACATATAATATGTAGGATTATTAGGTATTGGTCGTTTTTGGGAGGGAATTGCTGGGTAAGCTGCTTTCCCTCTTTTTGCGGGGAATTGTCACGAATCTCCTCAGCGGGTCTTTGTGGCTTCATGTTCATCACGTCCACGAACGCCAACACTTGGTAACACGAACGGTGACGAGTTTTGTGGATTCCATGCCCCGAGGTCGCCGAGCTCTTGCAGGAACATGGGCTAGAGGCAATGCCCGCCTTAAGGCGTGCACCATGGGCGAAGGATAGAATTGAGATAATTGTGTTGTTTGCTTGGTGTCAATGTGGGATGCCCAGTCAGTGGTCAGTGGATAACCTTTATAACCATTCTTCTTGGTGGAGAGAGGTGTTCTGTGTTCGTGAGTGCAGAGGTGCGGATTGAGATGAGGTTGGAGTTGAACAGATTACGTGAAAGGAGGGCGTTGGCGGTCATTTTGGACGGTCATAGCCCTAGAGAGATGTGTGACAGTAAGATCCTTTCAGTGGTGTCATACGGAGCAAGGAGTTGCAGGGATGAATCAGAGGACTGCAAAGGTTCGTTGATCACAGAGGCTGACATCCCGTGGCCAACCTTCTATGGTGCAATGGTGTTTCCATGGTGTAGTTTCCGAGCCCCTCCTTCAGTGCATGCGTAAGAGTTGGGACACATTGGACAATTTCTGAGAAAGGTCCTCAATCGCTGCCAGTTCTTCCTCGTGGTTAATGTGGAAAAGTGACTGTGATGACTATTGCATGTTCATTTGACGAACACGAACAGGACGATGATTTCTGGCTACACTTCGGTGTGTGCGTGTGTGGGTGTGCGTGTTTGTGTCAGTGGTGTTTTCCTTTGAGAGGGTCACAAGGTATCACAAGGTGAAACATGCAACTTCCGCCTAGTAGAACCCCTCAAAGGAAATCCAGCAGACCTCCTTACCCGTGGCTCCACACCAGCAATTGCGAGGCTGGGAGCGTTGCTGCTTAGCCGCGCGGGCTTTCCTTTGGTTCAGCTGGTGTCTTGCATGAGCAATGTTCGACCCTGACACCCCGCGAAGGTCTTTTTCATTCTTGTTCGATCATGTTTCACAAGGGGCTGACTGGATGGGATGATATATTATAATTACAACCTAGCGCTTCGAAAGTACCACCAAAAAAAGGAACAAAGGGAATAACCAGGTTTTTCCCTCTTGTTACCTTTTTTGGGTAAAGGTATATAAAGGTTACTTTTTTTGGAATTTGGAGTGTTTGGGGTGACTCTCCATATTTCCGAAGCGTTTCATAGCCGCTCGGGGCTCATAAGCGGCTGGGACGTGGCTGTGCTGGGACCTGGTGCCACCCGCCCTGTGCATGTATGCATGTGTGATTTCTGTGGAGATAGACTGGTCAAGCTGGCAAAGAAGTATTTGGCATGCTCTTGCTGTGCATTATCTTGTTATCTTCTTGGATTGGGCAAAATTTGAAGCCATATCGATCCATCAAATCTCACTGTGCGGCGCGGTGGATGGCGTCTTTTCTTGATTCCTGTTCTGCCGCATCGAAGCAAGTGATTGAGAAGGAAGGCTGGAAACTGAAGATGAGAGATGCTTCCAACAAGGTTTGTTCAATTGACATCCTCTTTTCATATGAAAATTTTGCCTCCTTATTCTTCAAGAACCTTGGGGAGGCTTGCAGAACTTCCCGGTGCAGTTTTGGAAGGACTGTCGTGAAGCTCTCTTCCATGACTGTGCCTCTAGGCAGCATCTCATTCAGCAGTGCCTAACTTCAGTTTCAAATTGGGCGTTCAGTCTAGTGAGGAACCCCCATCAGTGGATGATTTGGTGGACATGATCATCTCCAATACGAAAGCTGGTGGTATCTGCAAGGGTCTCAAGGACGAGAACAGGGTATGGGGCAAGAGTTCCTGCAAGTTTTGATGCATCATGATGCTTCACAGGGTACGGCGCCCAGCTCGCCCGTTCAGGAGAAGCATGCGACAGTACCAGTCCCACCACCTGCAGCTGCAGGAGCAGACGGGACACAGGAGAGCTTTGGTCAAAACTGGTATAGTCCTACATTCAATCATGTCCACAGGAGGGTTTGATGATGGTCAAAATACTTTAAACCATTTCCTGTCCTGGAAGATCTCCCAGGAAGACCAATGCAGCTGATGTCTACATGAGTGCTGAGTGCTTGCCAGGAAACCTGGCCTTAGATGACATTTTGGGGGTGGGAGAGAAGCTTGCAACGACTCCACTCATGTCTTTCCTTGCCCAAAAGGAAATAAAAGCATTTGATGCCACCTGCTTCTCAGTCTCCCAATGGGCTGAAATCTACTTTTCTGAGAATCTCCGGCTCCCGCTGGTGGAGTCTGATCCCGAACAATCGGCGTGGTTTCGTTTGTGGGGACCATATCATAGTTGATGTACTGCATCTGGTATAGGTGGAATCAAAACAATTTTGCGATGTGTCAGTCAGGCCAGGTACAACATGCCCATGTCCAAAGGATTCCCCAATCAGCATGCATGCACAAACATGTCATTAATGTATCTCGATCGGGATTTGTGGTGGTGCTGCCTGTGCCGATACCCCACGCAGGTCATGCCCATTGCTCGCCTTAACCTTTCCTTGCTGAACAGGCCGGCATCGCATGCCTGCACTCAAGCTGTGCAGATATGGTCATGCTGGTTTTGGGCATGCGCTGCAAGTGGGAAGTTCTTTCGACCAGAACACGGGGGTTCAAGCTTTATAGCTACCAGGTATAGCATATAGCGTGGATTTGTGCCATGTCTTGCGAAGACATCGTTGAATCTGACGAGGAGGAGGAGGTGTCTGCAGGGTCATGGCCACCCCTTCATGAGCTAGCTAGCATTTGGGAGGAAAATTCAGCAGTCCGTGGCTCACTCCGCCAAAACAAACGTCTTCTCATTTGGCCGAAGAAGGAACTGACAGGGGTTGCCACCATCGATGGGCTTGCCGCAAATTTGCTTGCGGTCCAAGATGCGCTGAAAGTCTGGGCCAGTCATGCCCCATCGCCGCGAGCGCCTCCCATTGATTGGCTGAGAGAGGAGGCCCGTCATTTTTTTACATGAGATTTCTGCGAACCCTTTTGTAAATCCTTTGTTCAAAATTGTCATCTTTCACCCATGACGGCCTACATGTCCTACCTGCGGCTGGTGTCAGGTCAAGCAAATTTACCTTCTGATGAACATCGAGTGCAACGATGTGAGCCTTCATTTGGATTCATGGGGCGTCAGGAGATTTGTTTCTTTGTGCCTCCGACGATGGAGGAGGGATCAGGTGACTTTCCGCGACCCTCAGCTCTGAAACATTTCGAATATGAAATGAAAGAAGCTAACTTTCGAGTGATTCACTTTGTCTTTGTGATTTGGACATAGTTGGATTCACCTCCAGCCACCACGGACTAAGGATCCACGCTTGCGGGTTCTCATGAACACAATGGCTGAGCATTGGCCCAGTGATGAGTCTGATCTTCTGACCAACGATCTGTATATGGAGATTGGAGGTGGTGGGGCTGAGCCAGCCCCTGCCAGGACTGAAGCAGCCCCTGCTCATGTGGGTGAACCGGCCAGGGCTGACCCAACCCCA